ACAACATTATTCTACTTTGCCTGCGAGTCTAGAATAATTTTATGGTATTGCATTAAGCAGAATTCTTTGCTCTCTATAACAAGACCAACCGCTTGTCAATACGATACTCCTAGGCTGAAATATTGGCTCGTAGACTTCCCCTCCCACAGGCCTCATGGCACCTCGCATCAACAATATTCACTATCCTTCTCGCCTTTTGCGGGTTAGGAAAGTCGCTTCGTGAAAATTCGGTTTTTTCCGTGATAACTTTATGAATGAACGGCGTTTCGGTTATCATCGGTGACTTTTGGGGGCATCGCCTATGCCCTTATCTCCCATTATCTTTCCTAGCATGGCTAATCCCGTCATGATGGAGCCGGCAATGTTTTCTAAATTAAGTCTGTACAACGCAGCTCAGTTACTATATGGTGTAGTAAGAGTACCAAATTTGGGCATGTGACATCAATTATCAGCGCTCCAAGCAGTGATAGAAACCGATAGCCAAAATGCTTAGCGGCGAGAAGGTGGCTGAATAAGCTGGATGCGAGGCGGCGTGAGGCATGTGGGAGGGGAGGTTTAGGAGCCTAGGAGTTTCTCAGCCTAGGAGTATCGTATTAACAAGCGGTTGGTCTTGTTTTAGAGAGCAAAGAATTCTGCTTAATGCAATACCATAAAATTATTGTAGACTCGCAGGCAAAGTAGAATAATCATGTCGTGAAATAGCACTATTTTCCCGTTTTTCCGTTGTACACTCTAGGTATTATTAGCTCTTGATATTATATTACTGAACATTGTATATATAGATTATTAGAGATTTGACAAGGATGCATTATGAGCAACTATATTGTGTATTTTTAATACAAGTGTACTTACAGCCCTTGCCCTGATCAACAGCAGGCATTACTCTGTCCATCAACTGCCTTTGTTCCTGTACAGCTCTATATGAGTCTGCCTGGTTCATTAGCAATTCTTTTAAGCTCCTATCCGTGGAACCTTTATTGAAAAAACAAATACATATTAAAGCTGTCAATAAATAACTAACATAAACTACGTAAGTAACTTTACATAGTTTTCTTGCACACTGATAAATAAGGCACACACTAAACACATATAGTTTAAATTTTATATACATGAACTACTGTGATACTGCATCCACATGTGCCAGTAAACATAACAATTTGTATATAAGGGTAATTCAAACATATGTAAAAGTGCTCTCTATATATACAGGTGGTCACTCTAGAGAGGTGGCTACTAACACACATCATTACATAATCCGTACATTGTCATTACATCATCCGTCCGTACATCATGTCATACATCATCCGTCCGTACATCGATCCGTCATTACATAATCATTACATACAACTGTACACATCATTACATAAATCCGAAATATTGGATATATACGATCCATGGATATTGTGTGCAGTCACACCATAAATACATACGTCCTAGACGTCGTTGTATATTTATTCGTTCTTCCATTTTCTGCTTCCACCTGTTGAGAGCCATGTCTTCTGTAGAGGAACCTTGAGGAAGAGGTTTACCAGCAGGTGGTGCTACCACACCTGGACCCTGACAGTCAACGTTGCACTTGGCCTCAGACTGCTGATCCTGTGTAATATTAAATTGGATACTTCAAAACTAACAACATGTCTTTCTACTGTAGTATGAAGTAGCATTACATAGCTAGCACATTTGTCACAAGCTGGACCATAGATCACAGGTAGGCCTACACCTTGTGATAGCATATTTGTTGTGCAACCAGACACATACAACTTGGCACCTGCTATCTATGGATTTCACACCTTAGGAGATTTATCCACATCTGCTTGTATGTTCATCTGCTGCAGATACTCCTCAATGCTGCCTAGAATGCTGTGAGGTATGACACGCCCATTACTGTCCAACTGCACTCCTGCAATGCACACAATATCTTATAACCTGTTATTTTATTAAGATAGAGCCTACTATAAATTAGAGTTAATCACCTGTACTTCTTTCCATTAAATTTAAGGTAAAAGTTATGCACATATGTCAAGCGGTTCATTTTCTTGAAATTTAGGATTTTACCTCTCGTGCTTTGAACTGCAGCTCCGTCTGACATTTGGTTTCTTGCTACGACAACTCTATAAAGAAACATGTAACAGATTCATATCATCAAGGAAAAATACTCTGGCATACTGCTTAATTGTTTTTTGACTCCAAACTAACATAAATTAATAACCATACCAGCATATATACTGTACAAACCATAGCTGAGGATAATTTTTTAATGTCTATACACACGTTTTTGTTGGGAGGGGCGTTGCAATTGCTAGTGGGAGTGGTTTTCTTCACAGCAACAGTGGTAAGCTGTGGCTCCCTTCTTGACAGACCACTTCCTGAAGTCACCCGTTCACGTAACTGTAACAAATAAATGAGAAAATATAGAGCAACACAAAATCACATCATACACACCATACTACCATATTCACACCACATCATGTCATCACATCACATCACAAACACATAATATCACATCACATCACATATTACAAACACATAATATCACATCACATCACATATTACAAACACATAATATCACATCACGTACATCCAGGGCCGTAGCCTCGGTTCATGGATAAAAGCACTGACCACGATTAATTTTCGCAATGTGCGACATGTGCAAATCACCAAATGTGCAAATGTGGACAGCTCTTATATCCTTGAGCAGTATCCTCTGGGGGGGGGGGGGTCAAGGCAAAGGGGGCATGCAGCTGCCCCCTAGATTTTGGAGCAAAATTGAAAAATAAGCTGTGCTAATAATAATCGTAAATAACCATGATGCGATTTTGTGGTCACTTATCCGTGAAAGCTTTGTCTCATACCAACCCCTACCACACTATGGACGTCAATCAATAGCTGCGCCCGTCGCTGTTCAGTGACTGTTCCAGTTCATTACTGATTACATAGTTGAGTCATGAAATTCTGCCCCCTAAGAATTTGCTCAGCCTACTGCCCTGACATCACATCACATCACACACACGTACATCACCACATACACAGCAGTGAGTGGGAATGGCTACAAATTGTATGTAGTTGCCTATGCCGGCTATGCCTATGTCATTGACTCGATTGAGTATCAGTACATGGCTATATGGCCGCTATGGCTGAGAGGGTCTATATGTCCCCCGGGGTACTGCCGGAACGTACCCTGGGTACGGTCCGGTATACCGGAACGTACCCTGGTACTATCTAATATGCCAGACCGTACCTCGCCTACTTCACTAACGAGTCTAGGGAGTCGCCTAGTACGGCCTACGCCTACTCCCTAACTCTAACCCTAATAAATCCTAACCCTAACCATATCAAATAGTGACCAGGGTACGTTCCGGTATACCGGACCGTACCCAGGGTACGTTCCAGCATAGCTATAGTACTAGAGCTAGTTCCGGCAGTACCCTGGGGGACATGGGCCGACCCAGTATGAGCGCCGCTATGCTATGGCGTACGTCGCCGTCGGTATGGGATCATGGATGTGACTAAAATGGGCTAGTTCAGTAGGCCTAGTTGCCAGTGCCGCATCCTCAACGGGTCAAACAATGTAGGACCTATCGTAAAATTTTGAGTATAACTGCTATAAATACCACATTTCCGCATTGTAGTTCATGTGCAGTCGGAGTCAGCAGCCGCCACTGCCCAATTTATCTCCCCGTCCTCGAAAGTCTCTGTTGCCATGGTAAACTATCAGTATCACGTGACATTACGACGCGGTTGAGCCGTGACGGGCTGCTTTTCACAGATCTACGAAGCTATAATAATACATCGTAGCAAAAATATAGAACTACTGCTTCATTGCATGCTATGACTATGAGATACGTGCGTTTTTCTACTGGTAATATGACGAAAGTCTTTACACAACGTCCGATAGACCTAGCGTCAGTGGTAGTACTAGTAGCGATAGCATGACCAGAACTTTTTAGTTGGACTATCAACACATTTGCAACTACTTGGTGGCGCTACGATCTCAAATACAAAATGGCTGCCCACTAACTAACAACATTGAGTAACAAGCGGTCGTGTTAATCATGAATATGCTATTGCTGCGATGAGAACAACATATACATGACATTGTATATCCTGTAGTCTGTACTCAGATGCTACCTAGTGAACTATGGCTGAACTGAGTCACTGACTCTTGCCAATGACCCTATACAATAATGCCAACGGTAGCAAACGGAGATCAGTAATTTGAGTAAAGTCTACCCGCTGCACTGCCACTGGCACTGTGCACATACGTAAAGACTAAAGTCAGTAAAGACTAAGTATCCGGACCTTTGACCAAGTAAAGAGCTACTCAATTTACTTGATTGCTGGTGCTACAAGTAGTACAGGCTACACTGTACAAGTGGCACTTGAACGTTGAAGTGCTTTATCGGGTTCAAGGATAGAGAACTTCAACATGGCCCATGGCCTGGGCATGGGACCGATGCCGATGGGTCCCAATAAAACCATTGTCATTTACATCAATATAAATATAATATTATATTAATATAATAGGTTAGGGTTATGGTTAGGGTTATTGTTAGGGTTAGGCACATTGGTTTTATTGGGACCCATGTTCTCTATCCTTGGGCCCTTTATCGTATGAATTGAATATGGTTAGTATAGGGCCTAATGGCTAATGCTCATAATGATAGTCATAGTCATAGGGTCTATGTCCCCCAGGGTATTGCCGGAACGTACCCTGGGTACAGTCCGGTATACCGGAATGTGGTACCCTGGTCACTATTTGATAGGGTTAGGGAGTAGACGTAGGCGACTCCCTAGTCTCGTTAGTGGAGTCGTCAAGGTACGGTCCGGCATATCAGATAGTACCAGGGTACGTTCCGGCAGTACCCCGGGGGACATAGACCCTCTCAGCGTTAGTAATAGTAGTATTACTATTGGCAGTATTGCTGAGAGGGTCTATGTCCCCCATAATATGAACGTGGCCCCATTGGCATTGCTGCAATCACGAGGTTTTGTTTGTGTGGCGAATCATGCGTTGAGGGAGTTTGTGCCCTCGGCTCTAGATGTTTTGGATACCCCGTCTACATTCAGGATCCCGTTTACAAGTCTGTCTAAACTGCCGTTGCGATAACCGTAGTATTTCAGCGTAATATGAGGGGAAAAGTTTCGTAGAGATGGTGGCCGAAGCAAAAACTTGGTGGCCTCGGGCCTCCGGGTCGGCACTAATTTCTAACGCTGTGTTGTTTATTGATGGAAGAACAGTGATTTTCGTCAGTGAGGCAGTCTTTTTGGATAAATTTCTGTGTGGCGGTTTTTTTGGATAAATTTCTGCGTGGCGGCTAAGATTTGAGCGAGGTGGCAGCCTCGCTCGGGTTAATGCAGGGGAAACACTGCTAGATATTTGTCTCACCTATTTATTAGTCTTTAAAATATTTTGAATTGAGAGTGTATGATTAGCACACTAAATGTGTAATTTTAGAGTGTGCTTGTGGTAGTGGTACTTGAGATATGAGCACACGCAATGAGTCACTCATTGAGTGTGTGACATACGACGTACTGCCACTGCACACAATATTGCAATAGCAATTGTGGCTCTAGCAGCCCAAGTCTAGTTTAGCACCCCAGATTAGTGTTGCACATATATGCGAAAACCACAGGCACTTGGGACAGAGTTAGTAAAAATTGAGAATAACGTGAACGCGGCACATTCACAAAAACTACCCGTTTATTACGCTTCCACTGTTGTATCACTGTATACCAACTTGCTTTCACAAAAACTCATGTAGAACTAGCCGCTCCCGCCACTCGCCGTTGCGGGTGTGCTGGGTCGCTAATACAATCATATATATATATCGTTGTATATCTCTCTCTCTCTCTATATATATATATGTATTAAATATAAATCTATATATATATCATCGTATTAGCGACACAGCACACCGGCAGTGGCGGGAGCGACTAGTTCTACATCACATATATGAGTTTAAGTTTGTATACAGTGACACAACAGTGAAAGCGTAATAAACAGGTAGTTTTTGTGAATGTACCGCGTTCATATTATTCTCAGTTTTTATTAACTTAGTCCCAAGTGCCTGTGGCGAAAACATATTGCAGGGGTACCAAACTATCCTTAAGCCGCT